ATAGCGAAGAAAGCAGTAAGTGCAAAAATGAAGTTTTGAGAAAACGAGCTCAGAAGCTTCTAATCGGGAAATTTTATTGAAAGAAGCCTCCGTTCTTTGTCAAATTGCCACCAATCGTCCAGAAAACTCCTAGAAATCGTTTGGATCATAAAAAATCTACTTATATTATTTCAATTACATAAAAAGGGTATTTTTCATTTTCATGCTAGGTTATTGTTTGGCAAGATAGCCGTAAGGGCTATCTTCTGCATGCTTCCGTGGTTGCGTTTTGGACATACAACAAACACACTTTCAAGTTGGAAATTCGCAGAAGAGGGCGGCATTTTACTTGAGAGCACTGTTTACAGTGGCTCTCTGGAGGAATAATTTCACTTACTGCTGTTTTGCCTAAAACTACGTCATTTTTTGCGCACTTACGGCTTTCTCATATGTTTCGTTTTGATACTATTTGGATGAATTTCGCTGTTTTAGCAATTTCAGTGATTTCATCTAAAAGAGTTTAACGAATTTTTATGGAAACTCGAATTCGAAAATTTGACACTTAGGTACTGTTCTCTTCGCTATCACGGCAGTTTAGTGGGACGGATATTTTCGGTTGCCATCTTGACTAGTTGACTTTGGCGATGTTTGTTTGAATAGAAGCTTAAAATACGATTTGAACCTGTTTTTCGAAGGTAAAAATTATTAAAAAAATCGGGAGAGACCCTTGCGAACCATGCTTACTCTCTTCTTTTTTGGCGAAACACTTTAATTAACAAATGTTATTTATTCTCACATTACGTATTCTGTAACAGTCTGGAAACATTGGCTAGGAACCGTGAAGTTCATTTTTGAAATCATATTTAAATTGATTGAAAAGTTATGTCCCTTACTTCTAAGAACTTTAGTTCAATATGTTTGCCAAAAACAGCAATCCCCTTGTCTTTCAGTGAAATGTGCTGTTCTCGATGAGTTTTGATTGCTTTAATTGGCTTTTAAGACAATTAATGTAAACTAAACTCAATCTCCGGAATAACGTCGCCTTAGCAGCATCAGGCGTTTCTCATTTTCTCGAAATCAAAGAATAATAAAACGAATGCCCGAATGAACTTGTTTATAGGACTTAAAATCGACAAAAATTTTAATTTGTTCAAAAAATGGCACCAAAATCTACGTGACAAATATTTATCATTCTTCCTCTTCTAAAACTCTTGCTTGGGTCTGAAATTGTATTATACATGTTCACCTTATAGCTTTATCGGAAATGAAATTTCTTGACCCGCAATTTAATTGCTGTTTTCGAGGAAGAAAGTCCTCATCACAACTGGACCTTTTTTTTGACGAAGCATACATGTATCAAAAATCCCTGAATATAACGATCTGTGGCAAGTAGGTGACCTCTATTTCCGCCCTAGTCCGCGGATTAACTACATCTGATGAGCGAGACAAAACAAGCTAAGAGAAGAGGAATATGGACAAAAATAAATAAATAAATTTGAGGGGGCGAGTGGCTGCACTTATATAGAGCGCATTAGCGTAAAACCTTGGTTAGGGATCCTCGATTAGGAGATGTACACTATAAAAAAAGAAGGGAAAAATCCACCACGCATAATGGATGATTCTCTGAGATAAAATGTTATTTTCAGAAAGATAACAGGCTTAATCCTAAGTCACAACTATTTTACACTTCTTTCAGCGGCGAAGGTAATAAAAAACTGTCGGTGAGGCAGGCAGGTGGTGAGTGGGTGTAATGTATTTAACCTCAGTTACCGTGAGTGCCCTGTGCTTTTTACATTGTTATCTTGACTTTTTATCAGGCGCATTTTCTTGCAACGCGAGTTCCTTTGTCTATTATGCCCTGAATATGTATATACTAAGTATCCGAAATGAAAGAAATAGATCAATCAATGCTAATTTATCCTTTCTGGACGACTTAATTTTCCTCCAAGCACAGTGTAAATATTTCGGGTTGTGCTTGCCTACAAATAAGAAACGCGAGAAATGAGTAACAGAGGCATCATGCAAAAACTTTCAAATCCCTCTGAAACATTTAAACGGGAAAAAAATGCGTGAAATGTAGGTTACTTTTTATGAAATAAAGCTTCGAGAGAAAGCGTTATTTTACGTAGGTAACGCCTCTACGATTTATTTTTCCTCTTACTGCAATTTATGACGAAAGGGTTGGCATTGCTGCATTGGATATTCGCAAAACTTCTGAAACATTTAAATGGGAAAAAATGAATTAAACGAGGGTTACTTCTTACGAAAAAACTTCGAGAAAAAGCGTTATTTTACGTAACGCATTTACGATTTGATTTTCTTCTAACTGCAATTTATGACGAAAGGGTTAGCATTACAGAATTGGGTATTCGCAAAACTTCTTTTGTCCCTATCCCCTTTACTATATGCTATTCTCTTACCCTCCCCGTCATAGACGAATGCAGCGGGCATAAAAAAGAGCCACCACCACCCCTCTCCCCCCTTCATTTTCTGGGTGCAAGAAAAAAAAGCATAGGGTTAAAGAAAGCATAAGGAGGGTGGCATACCGTAATTTTTTCGCACAAAATTAGGGATCCTTCCTCTCTCTTCTTCGATTTTATAGAGTCCGCGTCTGTACCACGGTTCCCGTTTTGAGAAACTCTCGTATTCAACTTTCAATTTTGAATTTATGTTTACTTCTAAATTTTATATTCCCTTCCCATATTTGCATTCAAAGTGTACACAAGAAAGCGCTTCATTAATATTCTGTTGTGTCCTGTAATTAGTGTTCGTTAGCCACGCGGCGGACCACTCCATCAACTCATGAGTTGAAAAAACAAACCAGTAGTTTTCGGAGGAAAAATAAATCTTTCAAGACGGCAGAATTCATTCGTGTTCCCAACACTATCTCGGCGGTGTTTATTTTTCCTATCCCATACATATGATCGTATTTACTTATTAGATAGATGCACTGACACACTTTACATTCCACGAACATTCCCATCGTTTACGCGTTCTCATAACGTCCTGGCGCTCTCCTCATATTTCAGTTCTGCCGTGCTAAGGAAGAACGCCGTATGAGCCATCGAGCGTTGCCAAACTTCTTTCAACAAATCACGAATTTTCAGGAAAATCTGTGAATGTTTCTCCTCCGATTTTTCACAGGATTTCGTTCGTAGTTTGATCTAAAAAGTCTATAAAATTTCAAGGAAAAATATTCATAACTTTCTTCAAAAATAAATATTTTCAAAGCAGAAATTTGGCAACATTCAACTGCTCATACGACATTCTTCCATAGCTCAGCAGAGTCGTAGTCAGCAGTTGCGCATCTTCTTGAAGGCTCTTTTGAGAAATTTCTCTCCGCTGCTGCTGCTGATCGATCTTGTGAATGACTGCGGTGTTTTTAGCGATTTAAAATTGCGGGAAAATAGACCCGCCCATGTTTTCGATGGTAAATTCTCAATTTCTGGTAATTTTACGGTAAATCCTCTCTATTCTAATAAAATAATTTTTAAGACGCTTGATGGACGGGTTGAGGAAGGGGAGTAAGACGGTCGATGGGCAGGAGTGAGGAAGGGGAGTTCAAAGATCAGAGTTTTAATAGAGTGGGTCTTTACTTTCAGAAAACCTTTTGTTTAGTCATGGATTTAGTTATACACTGTAAGCCTTGTCGACTCGAATTTCAAAAAAGAGGTCAAAATTCAGAGTAAGAAGAAAATCATTAAGAACATAGTGCTTGGCGAGAAATTTTCCTTTGAAACATCGTCATGTTCTGCAATTAATATTATTTGCTCATTAATCGCTGACGGGCGATTTCGACGATTTTGCTGGTTGCGAAGCGGCCTTTGGGGGCGCGCAGCGCCCTGGGGGTTGGGCCGTGTAGCGCCTGTAGCGGCCAGGGGACAGACTCCCTAGTTCTCTTTAAAATTGTTTTTTGTTATGGCCAGGGCCGGATTAAGGAGGTGGCCACATGGGCCGCGGCCCATGGCAACTAATTTTGGGGGCGGCAAATTTTGCAATTTTTTTTTTAAATATAGATACAAAAATAAATTGCAAACGGAAAAAGGCGACAAAATCTTGCATTTTCTGTGAGTATCGTAATTTCTAATTTTGTCGTTTTGCGGTGATACAAAAGACAGCACCTTTAATTAGTCGAGTTCTGAGAGAAACCAAACACGCAATTTGGTCAGAACGCTCATTTATTAACATTCTTGGCCGTTTTGGTCTGAAATTGGAATCTGAATTTTGTCAATGACATTGTTGTGTCAGAAGGTTGGCTGCCCTTTCATTAGTCCAGTTGAGACAGAAACCAAACACGCAATTTGGCCTGGAGCGGCGCGGCGCAGAGAGCAATGATGACGAGGACTTGAGATGAAAAGGAGAGGCCCTCGGCGCGGCGGTCGGCTTGTAACACATATTAGCGCCTACAAGACTGCATTAATACTTCTCGCAGAGCGTCACACAGTGCGGTCAGCAGCGGTCGCCGTGTAACGCATAGCGCCTACAAGACTGCATGAATACTTCACGCATTGCGTTAAACACAGTGCGTTCAGCAGCGGTCGGCGCGGCGTGAAAGGCATAGCGCCTACAAGAGTGTAGGAATACTTCACGCATTGCGCCAAACGAGTTGCGATCAGCACGGCGCGGCGGTGGAAGTTAAAATTATCGAACCACATTTATGATTGTTCTTTCATAATATGGAAGACATTGTCCAAACAGAGACAGGTTTACGGAACTTAACTTTCGCGCCAAATTCCGTGAATTTTTGCCGGTATTGTTGACAGGGCTTCCGCAAAAAATGTATCCAACACGAGTAAACGCGTCTTACGCATCCCTCTTCCTCCGGCACGTTCACTTGACGGTTTTTATTGATGTTTCAAAACGAATGAGATGGGGGCGGAAAAATACAGGCGGCCCTTGTGCGGCAAGTAGGTAAACGCGGCCCTGTTTATGGTGTTTGCAAACACTTCCATTGAGTTTACTTATAAAACTGCAGCATTTTTAGATGCAAAACTTAATGTTGTTTGATCTGATGTTCACAGGCATTGCATGGAGCTGCCGGTTCCCTTCATTGAGTTCGCTATCGCGGCGGAAAATGACGTCCAGTCCTCATCTTGAGATCTCACAGTGGCTTAACATCCTTGAACTGGGAAAGTATCAAAAGTTGTTTGACAAGCATCAAGGAATTGAGGTAAGCTGTACTTGGATTTGTGTCAGGGATTAAAAAATCCACAATACTTTTAAACTAAAATGTTTTTCCCGTCAATGGTCATAGATTTATAAACGGTAAAAATGGTATTGAATGCCAAAATTTCCGTCTGGATACAGGAAACAGCTCTGTTTTACTAGTGCTCTGGTCTTAATGTAAAGCCCTAAAATGGCATCAATCAGAATGCTTCATCCATGAAAAAAGAATCTTAGGATCATGCCTTGTATTTAAAAAAAACTGAACTTAGTATTTATCGTTCAAAATCTTCCTTATCTTTCTCTTCGTGCTCATATTCTTATTTTTTCATGCTTCTTTTTCTTATTCTGCTTATCTTTTATTATTTTACTTCTACTTTAACTTCGTCCTTTTCCTCATATTCTTATAAATACGTCCTCTTCTTGCTCATATTGTTATTTTTTATGCTTTTTCTTCTTTTTCTTCTTCTTCTTCTTCTTCCTCTTATTTTTTTATTATTTTACTTCTACAGTAACTTCGTCCTTTTCCTCTTATTTCTTACATATATGTCCTCTTCTCGCTCATATTCTTATTTTTTATGCTTCTTCTTCTTCTTCTTCTTCTTCTTCTTCTTCTTCTTCTTCTTCTTTTTCTTCCTCTCCTTTTTTTTTTATTTTACCTCTACTGTTACCTCGTCCTTTCCTCGTTTTCTTATTTATATGTAATAGGAATATCAAAGAGTGCACCAGAACATGTCTGAGATCTTCCTCACATTTTTATGATTGGACGAGGTAAAAATTATCGCAAAAGGGTGATACTGTCGAAACACTCCAGAGAGTTAGTGCGTCTCTACTTATTATGAGGGAGAGGAAATAAATTCGTTTACCTCAGCGCGTTTCCCCGCTCACCCTGACGATGATCCCTTAAGGGTTTGCTTTGCGCTGTTCATGAGTTGGGTTGGGTTTGGTCTTGCGCTGTTAAGCGAATTTTCCGGCAACCCTCCTAAAACCAATTTCCGAGCGTCTGTCAGGAGTCCCCGAGTCAAACAGAGCTCTCAGCAGCCACATAAACATTTATGTGCTATCTCTGAAGTTGCCAAGCCTCTTTAATTTTTACCTTAACGTATTTTGCGCATGTTTCCCTAGCTTGCTACTGTATTATTAGCCGACGAAAACAAAGAAAACTAGGATAAGCTCATAACAGATGTACAATCAGATGAAAAAGAATGCTAATTGCAGACCAGATAGCTGAAAGAGGTGAAGATACCCCAAAAATCTGTCATTCTGAATCGAACCAAAAAACAAAACAAACTTGGAAATATGAAAATCAACCAAAATGTGCGGCCAAAGAAGAAAATAAATTCCCCTAAAATTCTAATTTTATTAGCATTGTTTTTCATCTTATTATGAGCCCATTGATACTCAGGGCCGGATTTACATACTTGCCGCCCATGGGCCGCCTGTATTTTGCCGCCCTCTCTCATTCGTTTTGAAAAATCAATAAAAATCATGAAGTGGACGTGCATAAGACGCGTTAACTCGACGTGTCGGACACATTTTTTGCGAAAGCCCTGTCAACGCCACCAGCAAAAGTTCAAGGCACTTTGCGCGAAACTTAAGTTCCGTAAACCTATCTCTGTGTGGTCAAGGTCTTCCATTTATAAGAACTGCACGAAAAAATTATGAGAGAACAAACATAAATGTGGTTTCGTAATTTTAACTTCCGCCGCCGTGCCGCGCTGACCGCACTGTGTTTGGCGCAATGCTTGAAGTATTCCTACAGTTTTGTAGGCGCTATGCGTTTCACACTGACCGCACCGTATTTGACGCAATGCGTGAAGTATTCATGCAATCCTGTAGGCGCTAATGTGTGTTATACATATGCCAACCGCCGCACTGAGGGCTTTAAAAAAATGGTACAACAATTTTCAAACAGCATCGCACGAATTTAAAAGCTAAAAATAAGGCTCTAACACCCCTTGCCTACTAAAGTGGAGAGTGCGTGAGAAAATACATTGAATCAATAAAATGTATGCAAAGGGGCGAGAGATGGAAAAATACGTAAAGTTTTCATCCGGCAAGGGGCTTTGAATCAATAAAGCTCATGCTTGTCTTTGCGCTTTTTAGAGGGGAAACTTTTCATGATTTTAAATCGGATCGGAAGTCTCCGTGAAAACTTTTATGTCTCATACTTATGTCGTAAAAGTAATGGAAATAGAGTCATTAGCATTCCCTTGTAACATTTGCTTCTTGGGTAATTTACCGTGACGAGCCGTCTTCTTGGGCCAAGAATCCGGAGTTATACTTGAACCATTCTTCAGGGTTTCTCCAAGCAGAGCTTCTTCAATCCTCCTTGACGCGTGCTGGAAGCATTCTGGGGCCAACAATAGATTTGAACAACTGAGTGAAACGCGTACCTGCTCCAAAGCAGGTAGAAAATGATCGTGCCCCTTAAATTGCATCGTGCGAGATTGAAGGAAATTCAACCCTCCTGATTTCAGTTTGTCACGTTTACGTGCAGTCGCTTCCATTATCCTAAAAGAAATGGTGCCCCAACAAAGTATGGTATAGGCTTATTGCGACATGAAGTGACGTTGGGATGGTCTATATGCGCTTTCGTATCCGAAGCAAGACACGCTGAACGAG